AAGAAAATTGATTTTTGGATTGTAGCAGATGGGGGTTCACTCAAAACATTGACAACAATCTGTCATTACTGTGCACAAGACAAAATTAATTTCAGGATAATTAGGAACGGAGCTGAAAAATTACATGCCACAACATGATCTGCTCCATAAATCTACAACAAGGATATTCTAAAGATGGGAAGGGAGACACGAAGGGTAATTCAAATGATCAAGGGTCAAATTCCAACATCTTGGACTTTTTAGTTTTGAAAGAAGCTAGCAATGTAGGGGACATTTTAAAAAAGGACATACAAATAAGAGATGGATAGGAATACATATTTCTCCATAGTATTAGAGAAATACCAATGAAGTTAAAGGGTAGGATATTAAGATAGACAGAAAAAAGCACCCCTTCCAACCACATATATCAGGCATGGGCAAACTTTGGCCCTCCAGGTAGGCTGTTAGAAATTGTAGGAGTTGAAGTCCAAAACACCTGGAGGGCCAAAGTTTGCCCATGCCTGATATATAAATAAAATGTGGATTTTGCTGCTTCAAGCTGCAGAGTTTGCCACCAACATGGACAACTTTAGCCAGCGATTAGCTAAATCCCCAGGGAATGAGGTTATCACTTGGAAGAAATAATGATGGACATATATTATCTCCACTTCTGATATTTTCGCAGGTCAGTTAGTGGACAAGAAAAGCTAAAGGTGGATATTCCACTTATGTGTTCTTGGAGGTGCGCTTCCCAAGAGCATTATCTCATTGACCATTCTCTGGACTGGAAAAATCCTTGACTTGATCCAGCAGGGCTCTTTTTGGGTGCTTACTGAAAGCTGAGGAGTAGGGAAAGTGACAAAAAAATATTCTGCAAGTGTACTCTCTACCCCCTTAAGAGTCATCCCCATGGTGCAAGAAACTCAAAGCAGATGTGACAAGTTAGGGATATGCCAAAGGATGTGTAAAAAACTTGATTGGCTCTTTCACAAAATGGGCTGGTGTGTCTGCATGGGAAACTAACTGCAAGAGTCTAGAGATCACAGGGATGAATTATCAATTACCTTTTGGGGGCTTTTTATAATGACTTTCATTATAGGCCACTCCAACACATATTGCAAAGAAAGAAAGACATTTCTCCCATTCCCACCCCCCTTCCCCATAAATACAGGAGGATAGAGAAACAGAAAGAGAAAAACAAGTGCATCTTGTTTATTTTGTTTTATGCATGGTTCTCCATGCAGTCATGTTGGCCACATGACTCTTCAACTTAGAAATGGAGATGAGCACCAATAACTTTTACCTGCAGTCATCTTAGTTCAAATTATTATATTACTCATTATGGCAAAGAATATTGTTAGATTTTTTTCTAAAAATATATTAAGAGGTGTTTACCAGAAACACACCTTGCTTTAAAAATTGTGCATGATTGCAGCATATATGATTAACATCTTCAGTACATGAACAAAAAATGTCATAAATACACTCAATAGTTTATAAAATATCCATAAGTATTACTTATTAATCAAGTTACAGTTACTAAGTTTGTATTCTCAGAATATAAATTGTGTTGTTTACCCTCAAGGCACATATTTTTGTGGCATTTGCTTCCAGCTCTGCTCATATCTTTTCCAACCTTAATTCATGCAAACTGATTTCAATTTTGGAAGCAAACTGACCTGGAACCAGGCATGCCTTCCAACTCTAGTCCTCCCCATAACATCTCAATGGCAGTTGCTTTTCATTTCACACACGTTTAGTATTGACAGGAGCCGAAGGGGTAAATAAGGGAGAGGTTTCAAAACAACTGGAGTGTTTCATTTCCCCCAAATACTACGGAGTGCATTTCAGTACAGTTTATAATGCTTCCAAAAATTCCCAGTTCTATTACACATCCGTCACAAGCAGCTGGGGCTTTCCCGACCTGTTGTGGTCTACTTTCCCTCCAAAAAACTCTCCCGGTCCCAGCAAAAGCATCAAGGCCCGCCTCGGTATCCGCCTTCCTTCCATCCTCCTTGAACCATCTCTCCCTCCTTGGGTTCTCCTCGCGACTTGAAACTGTGCTTCCCAGGATTCCACAGCACTGGGGTCAAACTGCAGTTAAAGTGGGGTCAAACTGCAATCATTCTAATCTAGAGTATAGATGCTCCCGTGGTGTTTTTGGCCGGGTCTACACTGCCTCTCATCGCAGTTTGGACTGCATTCTATGCTCAATGTGTGCAGTTCAAATTGCACCATTTGGCCATGTCGATCCAGACCCACAGTCCGTGGGGCGGACTATTAGCCACCTTTGCTATGAATCATACTAACAATGGTGGCTTCTAGCGCCTTTATTCTTTGCTATGAATCATACCAACAGGTTGTTGTAGGTTTTTCGGGCTATATGGCCATGTTCTAGAAGCATTCTCTCCTGACTTTTCGCCTCCATCTATGGCAAGCATCCTCACAACCTCTGAGGATAGATGCAGGCGAAACGTCAGGAGGGAATGCTTCTAGAACATGGTCATGTAGCCCGAAAAACCTACAACAACCCAGCGATTCCAGCCATGAATACCATAATACCAACAACCGGAGTCCCCGGTGGCGCAGTGGGTTAAACCCCTGTGATGGCAGGACTGCAGACCGACAGGTCGGAGGTTCGAATCCGGGGAGAGCGCGGATGAGCTCCCTCTGTCAGCTCCAGCTCCCCATCCGGGGGCATGAGAGAAGTCTCTCACAAGGATGGTAAAACATCAAAACATCCGGGCGTCCCCTGGGCAACGTCCTTGCAGACGGCCAATTCCCTCACACCAGAAGCGACTTGCAGTTTCTCAAGTCGCTCCTGACACGAGAAAAAAATATATATCAATAGCCAAAGGCAGGAGAAATGCCACTGGCAGTTCCCCTTCTCCAGTCTTTCAAAATCAAAGGATCCACGGGGATCGGGAAATGGAATTTAATTTCCTGCCAGGCTCCATTGAACTAGCCGAAATGCCTGGAACTGAAGAGGTTCAAAACCAGTCCACCTGAGGAGCCGCCTTGGGAGACCTCCGACGCTTGGGGCTCGGCTTTCCCAACTCGGCCGAAATCTCTCCCCAGAAAGGAGGATGTGACGGACGGACAGAATGAATGAATGAATACATTTCACTCCACTTTAACTGCCAAGGCTCAGGGCTATGGGATCTCGGGAGCTGTAGTTTCGCCTCCCCCGCCAAAGAGGGCTGGTGTCTCACCAAATCACAACTTCCCAGGTAGAGCAAAATCCCCGTTGGCAGCAAAATCGGGCCATTCGAACTTGACCCCCCCCCCTCCAGGGTCTTCCTCCAGGGGGCAACTTGGAAGTCCCTGAACAGACTCAGAAGTGGAGCGGGCAGATCAAAAGACCACTTGGTAAAATGGCTTTACCTAGAGGAATCCTCCACCTGGTGCGACTGTGGAGCGGAACAAATAACTCCGCATCTGTATGCTTGCCCACAATGCCCTGCCCCATGCACAGAGGAGAAACTGTTTAATGCTACAGGCAATGCGGGTTACTATTGCCCGTTTTTGGTCTAAACCTATTTAGGACCTTGTCGTCCTTTATATCAGTTTTAAACTTATCTATTTATGCCATGCTTTTGACACGAAATAAATAATCTCCCAGAATTGCGAGGCACTCAAAGTGGGGTCAAACTGCATCCATTCTACTGTGTACACCAGGCACCCTCAAACTGCGGCCCTCCAGCTGTCTGGGCCTCCAACTCCCAGAAGCCCTAAAGAGCTTGTTCAATTGTCAAGAATTCTGGGAGTTGAAGGCCCAAACAGCGGGAGGGCCGCAGTTGGAGGGTGCCTGGTGTAAATAGATGCATCCCGAGGCTCAGTCCGATCCGAATCCGGCTCTAGAATGGGCCACTCGGTCCCAAACCCTGAAAGATGTTTCTAGCAGAATCCATTCAGGATGGTAGAACATAAAGCATAGCTGTGTCTAAGCAAGCGAATGCATGGCAAGGTGCCTCTGAGCATGCGCAAAGGCGTTGGGAATCGGGACAGGTGCACCTGAGGCCAAGGCGGAGGGAACTGGACGACTAAATTGCGACCCCATTGAGCGCTCCCGTGATTGGAGGCTGCCCCCCCCCCCCATTTCCATGTACAAAGGCACTGCGCCTGACAAAGCGGGAGCTCCTATCAACTTTGGATGAAGACAGTTTGACCCCACTCCCTGCCATTTTTTTTCCCATGTCAGGAGCGACTTGAGAAACGTTGTCCAGAGGATGCCCGGATGTTTGGTATTTTTACCATCCTTGTGAGAGGTTTCTCTCATGTCCCCGCATGGGGAGCTGGAGCTGACAGCGGGAGCTCAACCCTCTCTCCCCGGATTCCAGTCGCTGACCTGTTGGTCAGCAGTCCAGCTGGGTCAAGGGTTTAACCCATGGCTCCGGCCACAGCAAGAATGGTAAAACATCCAAAACATCATGGCGTGCTCTGTGCAACGTCCTTGCAGACGGCCAATTCTTTAACACCAGAAGCAACTGCAGTTTCTCTCATGTCCCCGCATGGGTAGCTGGAGCTGACAGAGGGAGCTCATCCGCATTCTCCCCTGATTCCAACCGCTAACCTGTCGGTCAACAGTCCTGCCGGCACAAGGGTTTAACCCATTTCGCAAAGGGGGGAGGGAGCTCTAGGATATAACATGAATTCCGTTTTGCCCAGATGGTCAGCAGTGATTCTCAAGCTCTTGTTCCTCCAATGTTTTGGACTTCAGGTCCCTGGCCTCCTGAGCACTTCTTGTACTGTTTGGGATGTTTTGGGATGTTTGAAAGCCTAAATAGCCAAGATCCTTTCCCAGCTATGCATCCCTCTTGTAACTGGAGAGAAGGGGGGGGGGCATTACATACAAAACACACATGTTATTGCGGGGTGGTCTCTTCTCAAAGCCTAGGTATTGAAGCCCTGGGGAGACCCTCGTGACTGGAGACCAGGGGGGTGCCTGTGCCTGCGTGAACGAGCCCTGCGTGCCCCCCCCGCGCCATCTCCCCACTCCCGCCCCCATCCGGGACACTCACCCAGGCACTCGTTGGCCTCTCGGGCGGTGGCGCGCTGCCAGGGCCGGTCGTAGTGGAAGGGCTTGCAGCGGTCGCACTCGGGCCCGGCCGTGTTGTGCTTGCAGTCGCAGGCCAGGAGCCCGTCGCGGTCGCGGAGGCAGCGGGCGGCGTGCCCGTTGCACTTGCAGCGCCCGCCCACCTGCAGGTCGGAGACGGCGTAGTAGTAGGAGTCGCGGGCCAGCTGGGGGTCGTCCTCGTCGTTCTCGTCGCCGAAGGTGTGGAGGCGGCTGAAGACCACCTTGATGTCGGTGGCCGTGACCCAGTCCTGCAGAACGGGCGAGTTGTCGAAGTCGTGGGCGGAGGGCCGCCCGTCCAGGGTGCTGAAGGCGATGAGCCCGCCGGAGAGGGGCCGCACGTCGGTGTGCGAGTCGGTGCAGACGGCCTCCTGCTCGTTCTGCTTGGTGATGGCGGCGCGGCTGGGCCGGCCGTACATCTTGCGGCACTGGGCCGAGTAGAACTGGAAGGGCACCCAGCTCCGCCCGCCGTCCATGGACTTGAAGATGGCCATGGACTCCGGGCGCGGCGAGCAGAACTGCAGGCTCACGTAGGTCACCTCGAACTTCTTGCCCAGCGAGAGCGAGAGCGTCACGTTCTGCGGGTGCTGCGGGAAGCTCTCCGACTGCCAACACGTCAGGTTGTGCGGGTTGTTCAGGTCCGTCAGGTAGGCGGCCGGGTGCGCGCGCTTGGCCTCCGAGGCGTCGCACAGGTGGCAGGCGCGCGGGCGGGGCGGGGACGAGCCCCCCGCGTGCTGCTGCTGCTGAGAGGCCTTGCCCTCCCCACTGCTGCTCCCGGGCCCACCCGCCGCCGCCTCCAGGGAGGCCTTCTCGGAGAGGACGCAGAAGCGCGAGGGCGGCCGCCCGCACGTGCTGGACACCCGCACCTCCTTCCCGAAGGCGGCGTTCACGAAGTCCGGGATGCAGCGCCGGGCCTGGCCCGTCTCGTCGTAGCAGGGGTCCGGCTGAGGGGCAGGTGCCGCGCCACCGCCTCCTCCCGCAGATGCACCACCGCCTCCTCCAGCACCAGCCCCCGCCGCGTGGCCCGGGAACATGCCGCCGCCGCCTCTGCCCTCCGCCGCCAAGCAGGCCACCGCCACCAGCGCCACCAGCGCCTCCCAGCCCCACGGAGACATGGCGCCTCTTCCTCCTCCTCCTCCTCCTCCTCCTCCTCGGAAGGAAGGCAAGAAGGAGCCTGGAAGAGAAGCAGAGAAGCAGAGAGAGGGAGTCAGCCCGAGCCCAGCCTCCCTCCGGGGAGAATTAGGCGGGAAGAGGCGCAGCGCAAGCCGCGGTGTGGACTCCGCGCGCGCAGGACGCCTCCGAGAGGAAGGAGGGCTTGGCATGCAAGAAGGAGGGGCGGGAGCGAGGGAGGGAGGTAGGCACGGAGGGGGTAGAGAGGGAGGGAGGGGTGGGGCGCGGAGTGGCGCGCGCGGGAAAGAGACACGCACAGATACTCGCGCACGCGGCTCCGTGCGTGGACTCTCCTCAGGACGCCTCAGAGTGGAGGCAGGCGCTGGGCTGAGAGGAGGAGGGAGGGAGGGAGAGGGTGGGGCGCCGCGCACGGGGGGGGAAAAGACACGCATAGGGACACATACACGCGCGCATGGACACTTCTCGACGCCTCAGAGTGGAAGGAAGCGTTGGGCTGGAAGAAGGGGAGAGGAAGAGAGGGGGGGAGGGAGTGGAGTGCGGCGCACCGGGAAAAAAGACATGCACAGGGACACATACACGCGCGCGTGGACTCTCCTCAGGACGCCTCAGAGTGGAAGCAGGCGCTGGGCTGTAAGAAGGAGGGAGGGAGGTGCAGCGCGGCAGAGAGGCAGGAACCCGACCGTGAAGTCTCCTCAAGACGCCTCAGAGTGCCTTACGTATATACACGTGCATACACACACGAACGCAAATACACGCGCGCTCTGTGGAGCGACTTCTGCTTGAGCCCCTCCCCCCCCCGCCCCTGGAGTGACAGCAGTCATTCCTTGCCTCCCTTTGAAAGTGCCACTGGCTGTTCGTGGGAGGGAAAAAGCCGTGCGCGGGCGCGAAAGCCACTCCTGCAGTACCTGGTTTGTTCCCTTGAAGCAGGCAAATCAGTCCCACAGAGGAGCGGAGCGCGTTTCCGTCAGCGGGATGGCCATGCAGGCGCCCACGCTGAGCCCCGAAGTCGCCCTGAGGGATTGGGGGGGGGCACTCTGGGAGCCACGCCCCCTTCCTCCTCCTTCCACTCTCCCTCCCTCCCTCTCCGTCTCCCCCGAACTCGCTTCTCAGAAAAGAGCGGGCTTTGGAGAGAGAGGCCCCGAGGCTTATGCACAGGAAGTGGCGCATGCGGAGCTACTTCCTCGCGTGCCCACCCCGTCGCCCCTGGGCTTTGGCCTGCCTCGCCGGGAGTTTCAGGAGGCAGCGCCTGCCTGAACAAACCTCACCGCCCTCTTCACTCAAAGGGAAAGCCATTTATGGCACCGTCTTGGGTTTCGACGTGTTTTCTTAGGCAAGCGAGACTCTGGTGTGGTTTGGCCACTTCCTTCCACTGAGCCCACCGCACCTGCTCTGCAAGGGTGCCCCCCCCCCAATTCACGCCCTAAACAGAGCCGATCCTCATCCTCCTTAACAAAAAGATGCCTTGGGATTCGGCGCCTATTTACACAGAGGACGTCTTAAGCGGAGCATGAAACAGACGAGAGGCACTGTCATATTCGGGAGGCGGTACTTTAGGGCTCTCTCTCTCTCTCTGATCCGAGGGAATCTCGTCCCGCAGGGAACTAAGGGACACCGTGCCGCAGAATTGTCCCCCCCCCCCCTTTCCTTGCCTGGCAAACGGGGCCCTTTCCCTCGGCGTCCTTCCTGTCCTGCTTTCCTCTCCGGGAGGTCTGCAGTTGAGGGTCGCCGTCCTGCCCGGAGCCTGGGAGCGGGGCCTGCTGTTTCAGGGGGGCTTTTCCCCCCGAGAGGATCCCTAGCATGGCAAGGCTGGCCTCCTTCCATTCCAGAGGAGTGGAGTGGATAGGAAACCAAGGCAGGTGGCTTTCGTGGCTGCTACAGCCTAATTCGCAGCCCGAACATTCAAGTCTCAGTCCCATCCACAACTAGGTCCACCCCACGTATTAGCTAGCGACCACGATATCAAATCTTAAACCCGGGTACAAGGTAAAGTGGCCACATCAAGCTCAAGGCTGCTTTCAAAGGGATGGAGACTCCGCCTCTGCTGGTTTTTAACAGAGGCTTTTAACAGAAGCTGGACGGCTATCTGTCGAGAGGGCTTTGATGGTGTGTCCCTGTCTGGCAGAAGGGAGTGGAGCTGGGTGGCCCTTGGGGCCTCTTCCACCTCGAAGATTCTGTAGAAATGCCCGAAGGAATCCCGAAATGGGAGGGCGAATACTGCTTAGCCCCATCGCCTTGGCACTGTCAATGTAAGCAAGGGAGCTGTTGTGAAAGTCCCGGCTGGGTTTCCGTGAGATCTGTCCACCCAAAAGCATCCCCACGGCGCTTCAACCAGAGGCAACCTCCGCTCAAGTCTTTCCCATTCCACCGAGGGGTCGCTGCCCACCTTCCCCTCCCTCCTGGGTCGCAGGAGGAAAGAAGGAAGGGCCCCGGGGGCCTCGTGGGAGGCGGGGCTTCGGAGCCCACGGGGTGGGGCCTCCCAGGCCCTGTGGGAGAGGCCAAGAGGAGGAGCCGCCAGAGAGGGAAGGCGCAGAGAGTGGAGAACAGGGAGAAAGGAAAGCGCACGCACAAGGGTCTCCTACACGCTCCCCACGCGTGGATATCTCCCCCAGTCCCGAATCCGCAGGTCCTCTATTCTCAGTCCGACGCATCTGAATGCAGTTTCTCTCCAGTGTCACTGCTGTGGTTCCGTGCTGTGGGGTGCTGGGAATTGCCTTTTGCTGAGGCACCAGCCCTGTTTGGCAGATAAGCAAACCAAACCCCACGCGCAAAGGCGGGCTTCAAAAGGCGTTCTGGTCGGGCCCTGCTTCCTGCGCTTTGTAATATTAGTGTTGTTGAAAGTGCAACCTCCCAGGAGTCCACAGCACCGAACCCTGGCCGTTTCAGTGGTGCCAAGATGCATTCATTCTGTAGCGTACCTAGAGGCACTTTGAGGCCTTGGAGCAAGACCCAGGCAAACTTCTGGCCACGGCGGGAAAGCTCCTTTTCAGCACTTTCGCTCTCCCAAGGCAGCCGGGCCCCTCCCGGCCAAAACTCTTGCTTTTCCTCCCGGCCTCCCTCCCTGCTCTCTCAGGTCGCAGTTTAGGCATCAGCAAGGGGCTTCTGTCGACCCTCTTGTTTCTGCAGACATCACCCAGACTGGCCACCCTCGCTACACAATTGCCTCCCTTTCCTAGACCGTTAGGCAAAAGAAATGGAAGGAGAGCGGGCAGCAAAAGAGCTCTGCTGACAATTGGGACCCTTTCGTGCTACAGAGCTGCCTCTAATATCCGACAGGCACCAGATGCCACCTGTCTTTGAAAGCTAAGCAGGGATGAGGGACCACGCAGGAACACGCGGTGCTATAGGCTAGATTTCTGGCAAAACCACCTCTGCGTCTTCCTTGGCTAAGAAACCCCTACGGAATAACATGTCGACAGGCGTCTTGAAGGTACATGCACAAGAGCTGCATGAAGGAGTTCGCTCAAATAAACACCTCGCACTCCCACATTAATTGCATATTCATATATACCAGTCAGGTTTTGAAACTGCAAGGACATCCAGTGCTAAGGTGTCCAATTGCAACATTCACACTTGCCTCAAGCAGACAATTCCACAGGACATCCCACAGATATATAAATCTCACTTGCCTAGTTTCCAACAGACCTCACGACCTCAGGAGAGAATGGTTCTGGAACATGGCCAGACAGCCCGGAAAACTCACAGCAACCCAGATACCAATCCCCCTCTCCGCCCTTCCATGCTACACAGTTAAAGCACCCGGGCTCTCAGGGCTGCATAATGAAAGACCTCTCTGGATTCCGATGCATTCCTTTAGTGTCAAAGCCCAGATTCCCATAGGATGCAGACACGTAACACTATTGTTGTATAATATAACTAGCCTGAATCATCAATCCCAGTTCAACGAGTCATGGGAATGTTGTGAGGGCAGACTTTCTAGATAAGGGGCCTGCCCTAAGCTTTCCTCGACCTCGATTTGGAAGCATACAACGTTGTAGACAAAGCACATGCATGTGGGCAGCAGATGTATGCATATCTATCTTCAGATTGCTTGTTCAGTTATGAGTCCTATAGGGTTTTCTTAGGCAGCAGATGTCTCTTCCGATTGCCTGTTCACGTATGAATCTCATAGGGTTATCTTAGTCAAGGAAGACTCAGAGTTGGTTTTGCCAGGTCCTTCCTCTCCCACCCAAGCCCTACCAGGGCTGACCCTGCTTAGCTTCCAAGCCCAGACAGATCGGGATCATTTTAGGGTATCGAGGTCTCCTAGCAGATGTGAGCCTGGCCTACATACCTGGCTCTGGGGACCAGCATAAGGTAGTTTGGGTGTTAGATTGTGGCTTTGGGTTCAACCACGGAGAGCCACGGGGCAAGTCACACTCTCTGGGCCTCAGAAGGAAGCAAGGGGAAACTCTCTCTGAATGAATCTTGCTAAGAGGACCCGTGGTCGCCAGAAATAGAAAACGATTTGAAAGCAAACAACAACGATGGTTTGGAAAGAGTTCTCCAAGGCCCAAAACCGGGACAGTCGGTGTCATTTTGCATGCAGAGCTAGGGCAACAATGAGCCCTGAGTGCAGCTACACCAGGTGTGGGCAACTTCGGCCCTCCAGGTGAAAACTTCAACTCTCACTTTCTGTTAGGAATGGTGAGAGTTGAAGTCCAAAACACCCTGAGGGCCGAAGTTTGTCTGTGCCTGATCTACACTGTGGAATGGATGCAGTTAGGCACTACTTGGACTGCCCTGGTGGCTCAATACTATGGAATCCTGGGATGTGTAGTTGGGTGAGGCACCGGTTCTCTTTGGCACAGATAATAATAATAATAATAATAATAATAATAATAATAATAATAATAATAATTATTATTATTATTATTATTATTATTATTATTATTATTTATACCTCGCCAGCATCTCCCCAATGGGCACTCGGGGCGGCTAACATGAGGCCAAGCCCCTATAAAAATACAATCAGTAAAATACAGAATACAAAAACAAAATGCATCAGAAAATAAATTGCAATAACAAAATGAAATAATAAAGAAATTCGCACAATATAAAATCAAATAGGATGGGCAGGCCAAATAGACAAGATAAAATGATAAAACCCTGGGTGTGGAAGGAATAGGAAATATGTAAAGAAAATGAAACATTGGGGTAAGGCTTTCAGTTTAGAATGGGGGAGA